AACCCGAATTAACCCTAAACCCTAAACCCCAAACCCTAACACCCCAAGGCCCTAAACTCTTATCAAACCTAAACCGTTCCAACTGGCTTTGGATCCTCCCAGCATCCTGACCCCTGACAGCCTCAGCAGGTTCCAGCCCGAGAGAAGTGCAGAGCCATCGGGCTGGAGCAGCTTCGGCCTTGTCTTCAACGTGGCGAGTAGTTTTCTTTTTTTTTGTTTTAGGGCTTGTCTGTCTTATGTTTCGTGATTTTCGGGGGAGCCCCTAAACCCTGAACCCTAAACCCGACGGGTTTAAAAGCCGAGTCTAACTCTTCACACGAAGCCTCGGCAGCACCGGAAGATGTGAGCTCGGATGAGATTTGCAGTGCACGATGTCTTGGCGCAGGCAAGCTTGAACTCTGCAGAACTTACACCGAAATCCCCAAAGCCCCCACAGAATGTCTGTTAAGGCAAGCACTGCCCGCCTCCTCGCCGTGTTGCGGCATGGGCCGACCGCGCTGGAGGCTTGAAGGGAATAGGTTTATTCAAAGCCTGAAGCCCGGGACTTATTTTCTCCTAAAGCCCTCAAGTCCTAAAAGCCTTAAACCCCGAACCCTTGCACGGAACCGGAACCTATAAATCCTAAAACCCTAAAATCCTGTCAACCTGAAACCCGGAACCCTGGCACCCCACTCCCGGCTTGCAGAAGGCAGAGGAACCTCCAGCCTTGGACGAAGAGCAGGAGGAGGGCAGAGATGTAGCGGCCCTTGCGGAGGCAAGGCCTCTGGATTTTCAAGGTTTAGGGTATAGGGTTTAAGGTTTGGGGTTTAAGGTGTAGGGTTCATAGGGCTTGGGGTTTATAAGGTTCTGGGGTTTAGGGGGTTTGTGCCTGAGGAATTCTGCTTCAGAGGTGTCGCTATGTCTCGGTGTTTATCCGCCTGCTGCGAAACACCATACACACGCATGCACATGCAGGCACATGTACGTATGCATGTTATGTATGTATGTGCACACAAACATATAGGTACACACAGGAAGAGTTACACACGTTGACATGCACATATGCTTGCGTGCGTCTTCCTCCCTCTCTCTTTGTCTCTCTGTGTCTCTTTCCTCTCTCTCTCTATATCTACTCTCCCCCCTCTCTCTTTGTCTCCATCCCTCCCTCCCTCAACCCATCCATCCATTCATCCATCCATCTGTCTACCTAGTTGTCTTTCTGTCCAGCTGGCTCTTCCAAGCACTCAATCTACCGATCTGTACATACATGCATGCCTCCAGGTTGGCACAGATAGCTTGTGGCATCACTGTGCTGAAGGCACATGACACCTAGTCATCCGAACACAAACTAGAGGATCAGGACGAGCAGTCGGAGTTGCGTTTTTCGAGCCGAGTCGAATTTTAAGGCGAACACCGAAGTACCAATAGTCTTCCGTGTGGCCTCTGTGACGAAATCAGAGAAGCCCCATCTGCTAACCTCGACAGGATCCGGCTATGCCATCGCCAGGACTTGGCTCGTGCCGGGTCTCGATCTATTGGTTGGTTGCTTCGGTGCCAGTATGAGGTACAGGAGTCCAAGGTTGATGGGTTCCATTTTCCAAGCTCTCGCATGCCCTGAGGCCATGGATGTTCAGCGCCAGCCGTAGTTCTCCAGCAAAGGTCCTGCAAAGAGAACTTAAAGATAATTCTCCGTCCACCCACAACTGGAGCCTTTAAAACCCTACAATCTCTCGACAGCACAACCCTAAACCTGAAACCCGAAACCCAACAATTACCCACCCGAAGACCCCCTGTTTTCGCCGAGGCAACAGGCCAAGAGGGGAAGCCCGCTGAGTGCGCTGGCGGAGCCAACACCTTCAAGGTTCGTCGTTCGGGTGTTGAAATGGAAGGCATACTATCCGAGAGATATGATGTGCTGCATTTTCAGAATGATTCGTTTACGCAGGGGCATGTCTCCACGTTTGAATACATGGATATGGCGAGAGTTACACAATATGCAAACCCTACAGACGTCAGTTCTTTGAAGCTGTACGCCTTCGACCCTTCAACTCTACACTGTGCTAGGCCCTCTTTCATCAGACATGGCTGTTGATAGCATATTCGTAGATCCTCATTAGGACCCGGCCTTTAATGGCTTGCATGATGGCCCCCCTTAAACAAGAGAAAGCAGAAGCCAGCGTCGCAGGGGACCGGAGCTGATGGCTGGCCGCCGCGCGCCTGAGTCGTTGGCGCTCGCTCCGAGTAATCTCCACGGCGGGCCGGCATGGGAAAGTTTTGTGAAAGGGCTTTAGTAACTTTAGTAGAATCCTTGGGTGGCGGGTTGTAGTGAGTCAGTTTCTGTAATTAGTAAAGAGACAAGACTTGACTCTGCTTAAGTTGTTTGTTCTGGAGATTTTCAACCTCAGATTGGGTCTCTGTTTACCATACAACAACACATCGGGAACTGACTGCGAGATGTGTAAAACAGTGGGCTATCGTAAGACTGGTAGGAGTTGCAGTGTGTTTGTTGTGGCAGGTCGTTTGCCTTTGTTCTGCAAGGTTCTACGTGGATTAGGTTTGTGCATCGTGCCCTGAGGAGGATCTGCTAAGCGATGTTTCCGTAGCAGTTCCGAAGGAGTCCATATGGCGTTAATAATAGGGCTTAGGGTTTACGGTTGAATACTGTTGAGGCTTCTACATACCTTCTTCGCATGCGCCATGTTGTGTACAGATTTGTTGGGGTCGGGAGTATTAGGGCACAGGTACAACATCAAGTTTGACGAGTCGTTGGAGTTGCCTTGATGTATGCTTTGCAGAAGCAGTCATATATATCTATATACATAGAAGCCCGAATAACTATGGTAGTAATACTATTTGGATTCCTTGCTATAATTATAGGACAATGTACCACCAAAAACTCTATTCTGATTATTGAAACCCGTGCCTTAGGATCAAAAATCACCTGCGTACTATACCAAAGCTAAGCATCGGAGCCCAGGTACTCTGAGGCAGCCAGCTGCGACGATGCCGGAGATCCGTGCTGCAGAGCCTGGGCGGCTGGAATTTCGGCCTTCTCACCGAAGCCGGGAGGAAGCAGACAAAACCGGGCAGAACTCCCTGAGGCCAAAGTCATCAGACTGGGAGGTTCCTGAAACCCAAACCCTAAACCCTAAACCCCTAAACCCTAAAAACCCTAAAAACCGTAAAAACCCTAAACCCTAAAAACCCTAAACCCTAAACCCTAGAATGGTCCAGGGAAGCTCCTGAGCTTCAAGGGCGGCGGGAGCTTCTGCCTCCGGAAAACAGAGGAGAGGAGGATTCTCGGAGTTCTTTCCCTTCTGCTTCGGAGAGGCTTCACATGGAGGCACCTTCCGGCAGCCAGGCTTCCGTTGGAAGCCTGGGCCTTAGTCCTCAGAGACACCCGCAGCAGCTGCAAGAGGAGCAAGTCCGGCTGCCAGCTCCGGCGCCACGCATACAGCTCACGTCAGCGCATGCTTCAAGCACGGATCCGACGTCGGCCTTCGAAGGTGTCCCCACAGAAGCACCCACCATCACGGGCGTTCAGACAAGCGCAGGCACAGCATCCAAGCTTCCGAAACCGCTGCCCATTCATCAGAGCCCACCTCTCCCACCCTCACCTGAGCAGCCCACCAAGGCTGCATCTCGAGATCCCCTGCCCCTGCCCCTACCTACCCCTTCGTCTCTTGTGCCCCAAGAGCCGGAGAAGGCCCACAGTTCGGTGCCGCCCCTGTCTCGGGAGAAGGAGGTTGAAACGCAGCTGCCAGAGTTCCCCGAGGACTCCGAGCGGTTCAGGGCGAAAGCCGGCCATGCGAGCCTGGAGATGCCACAGCCACAGAGTCTGCATAGGGAGGCAGCGAAAGAGGACCTGGGGTCTTGTTGGATACAATTTTACATTTTTGTTGTAATAAAACTCAATAAGGATTGAAAATGATCAGTTTTTAATATTACCCAACAGCGAACCATGGACCGTGTTTCCTTACTTCAGGATGCAGCCATGGCCGCAGAAAGAAGCGACTTGCCCTCACCATCACCATCGCAGCCACTGCCCTCCGGAGATGTTCCGCGTGGCCCGAGCACGGTGCCCGGGGATACGCAGGGCGGAGCAAGAGTGGGCTCCGAAGTTGTCGGTGAGCAACGGCTACAAGAAAGCGCCGCGTCTTCCGTGCAGAGCAGGACGCTTGGCATGGACATCCCGGGACATGAGGAGGTGCCATGCGTGCCGGACGATGCCGGCAGACAAGGCGGCATGGCTGAGGTTGTGGACACATCCGCCAAGTTAGTCGAAGATGTCTCAGGTGCGGAAGGTCTGCAGATGCCGGCGCATCCGAAGATGCCGTCGCCCGAGGATTATACCAAGCTCAGTGAGACCGACATCGCCACTCCTCCGAGCATTCCCCCGGCCGCACCGACGGACTCTGCCTCCGGCAGTCGTCCCGAAGCAACCGTGCACCGGCACCCAGCCGAACCGATGCAGGCCTTGAGTCCGGAGCCCAAGCCCCAGGCGTCACCCCCAGGAGGGGAGCCCACTCCAAGCCAGACCTCCATCCCCGACGCAGCCGGACCACCGATCACCGCGGACGTTGTGCATGCGAGCATCTTGCAGGCATTCGTTTTCGACTGCAGGAGTTAGTTATATAAGGTAGGGAGGGAGTGCATTCCTTGTGGCGCAACAGCATATTATCTATTCGATGAGAGGAAAAACCCAGGAGGCTAACACCTTTCAATGTGCGAGCGAGTTATACATGCACGATGATTTCAGCCCAAGGTATGGAGGGCCCTGGACCCAAGCCGAGCAACGTCCTGGAGAAGTCGGTAGCTCGTCCAGCGACTGCAGGAGACCCGGCTAGAAGTTTCAGGCCTTGTGGACATCTTGATAGATTGATGGATAGACAGGTGTGTGTGTGTAGGTGGTATGGAGCGTTTCGGGGCTAGGGGTTTAAGGTTCTGGGGACTATATAGGTTTAGGGTAAAGTTTAGGGGCATTGGGGTCTTTCAGTACCGCAATAGGCAACTTGCAACTGTTAATCCTCTTCGTCGTATTGTATAGTCCTTGTGTTGTTAAGCGGCCGGCTTGGACCAGGCCTCGATTGAGAGTGGTAGAGAAATAATACAGTGCAGCATCACATGGGGGAGCCTACAGGAAAACCTCCAAGACTTTGAGAAGGCGCTGTTGGCCAATCGTGCTAGTAGTAGCAAGAGCTCGGAACGCAACTTTGGTTCCTCCCCTTGGTGCAAGCCTTTCTTGGTGCGGTTTTGAAGAGGTGGGGGGGGGGGGGGGGGGTCAGGGCGGCCAGAAAATACCGAACGGAACAAACACATAAACACATGTTCTGCTTGTAGCTGTGCTAGAAGATACAAGAAACTGTTTTGAGCTGAACGTCTACAGTAGTTGTTCTCCCCTGTCGAATTGACCGTTCAAGAGAGGCTACAACTATGTTTGATGAAGGATGCACATGGCTAATCGTTGGTTGGCCATCGTGCGGCAAGTGGTGTCTAAGTGAAGCCTTTCCGATTTCCTGGCGGGGCGGCTTGGGCATGCCACCAAACTTCAGAAAGTCATCAATGCCACGAGCCTTGATTATACACCATTGGGGGGAAGCTGTAGCCCTTCCACCGCTGCTCAACATTCGCGCCACGGGAACTTGCCAAGAAACCCCAAATACGCCTTAACATATCTCAAAGCAAGCTCAGGATAAATTCTTTTTGGTTTGGGCTCTCTGGGAGCCAAGTAGACGAAGGCTGGGACCCTAACATAGGTCCCAAATCATGGCATACACAAGCCCGAAAACAGGGACCCCTGAATTTCCCTTCTACAGCCCTAAACCCAACCCCCAAACCCTAAACCACGTATAAACGATGACAGCTTCAAGATGAGCCGAGGAGATGAGGCCCTTCCCAGAAGTTCAGCCGACACGGCTGCCATGGTCCGTATGGAGGCAGGGCTTTTAGGGTTTAAGTTTTATGGTTTAGGGAAGGTTCTATTTAAACCCTAAGCCCTCAACCTTAGTTTCCCGGTTCGGGTTTAGGCCTGAGGGTTTCAGGTTTATCCGTATTCAAAGCGAGAAGGCTTCGACCTTGGATTCCTGTATGTAGGGTTTCAAGTTTTGTTGAAAAAGTTTTTGCGGTGCTGCGCCTAATGCAGGTAGCAACCCTAAACCCCAAATCCGAAACCCTAAACCCCAAACCCTAAACTTTGGCCTAAACCCCAAACCCAAACCCTAAACCCCAAGCCCTAAACCCTGAACCCTCAACCGTTTTGGGTGTATGGGGCTTGGTGGCCAGGGCCAGAGAACGATGGCGGGGTGCAGGCTGCAGCTTCCTCGAAGAACACCCATTCGATTCAATGTTCAGGTTTTAGTGTTTATAGGGTTTAGTGTTTAGGGTTTAGTGTTCAGGGTATAAGGTTTGGGGTTAGGGTTTGGGGTTTAGGCTTCAGGGTGCAAGGTTTAGGGTTAAGGTTTACGGTTTGAGTTCAGTCGGGAGTCCCATCAGCGCATGACTTCTGCAGCATTTTCGCATGAGTCGCATGGAGGCTTTCGGTAGCTGGCGCCCAACTACTGAAGCTGGAGGTCGTGACCCTGCAGACGACCTTAACTCAAACTGAGGCCCCTGGGTGTAGAGGTGAGTCTAGCTTTCATTCAGCCTAAATGCAAGAAGGACAATGTCATTTTTTTCAGACAAGGCCAAATCACCCTGCAGGTCGCATCTACTGCAGCGGCGCCACCCGCGCCGGCCCTGGATGAGAGCACACAGGTGGATATGGTGCTTCGAGCTTGAGGGTCAGTCTATGTTTGAACTCATTAGTAGTTATGGGTTAAGTAAGGCTTCTTGTTGGTTCTTGTTTAAGGTTTATAGGCTCTAGGGCCCAGGGTTTTGGGGTCTAGGTTTGAGTCGTGACTGGCTGCTTCCACTGTTCAAGGCTTCAGCTTCGGACTGTCTCCACAACTTCGACATGAGGTTTGGTAGCAAGAGCTGGCATGTAGTGATCCTTTACTGCGTGGCTTTCGGCAGACTGCACGTTATTACGTCCAAGACATTGTGTCCCTTACCCTCAAAAGACTCATATTGAAAGGCATTTGGGCCCAAAGACCCTATTTGTCAAAGGCTTTTGGGCTATTTCTATGCTAAGGATATGGGTGTCTACGCACTGAGCATCCACGAAGGCCTCGTTTTTAAAAGACCCTAGAGCAGGGCTCTGAGCCTGAAGCCGTAGTTCCTAATCCCGGGCCTGTAACGCAGGGGCCTTAATAAGATTACCAACACTATATCCTGGGGGTTCCTTACTATAGGGCCCAAAACATTATTATAGTTATCAAGGCCCCTATGTGGGTTCCTTATTATTAAATTATAGTTGTAGTATTATGCGCCCCTAAACTCTATAAAAATTATTAAGGCCCCTACATTAACACACCCTTCTAGTACCTCTACCCTGAGCCTGTGTAGAGGAGCTCCTGCGGCAGCTCCGGCAGCAGCAGGCCGTGCTTCAGCGGCAGGTGGAGCGATTGCAGCTCGGTCTGGAAGACATCGAAAGCCCAGAGTATCCAACTACCCATGCATGATAATATGCTCTGACCCTACAGTAGCTGTATCGAAACTCCTTGGGGGCCAAAGGAGGCGTCCCCCAGTGAATTTAAGGAATCTGTAATGACTGCGAGTAGCAGGCTCCACTCGTCCAAGGTTCCTTGCCATCTTCGGCCACTCACAACGAGTAATGAAGCGGTTTCTCATCTCTCGGGTTACGAATGTTCGCAAACGACTACATAAGCGACTACATATTCCGAGCGTCTCATGCAGGAAAACGGACAATCAGACATGCGTATGGAACTCCAAGCCCGAAAACTGCAACCTAAAACTCAGACCGCAAACCAAGCAGATTCCACCTGCCTAGGACGCGCGAGAGGGACCGGGAACGCTCGCCGAGGGTTCGTGCTGTCGCCGTCGCTGAGGACAGGACTTTGTGACAGGTGATGAGGTTTTTACCACCAAGGGTTCCCCCAAGGAATTATTACTACAAGTAAGGTTTACTATTGGGGTCAGAATACGGGGTACTATAAGGGACTATGAAAAGGGTTATTGTCAGGCGAGAATTGAAAACTGGGGCTCGTTGTTTGTATGATTGAACTCCTTTTGTATGCACGGCCCACCCATACCGCGATATACAACATCATGACATATGCGAAACTCGAGATAAAATCCAGGCAAATAAGCAGATAATTACATAAGTAGATCGATAGATAACAAAAGTTATTTAAGAAAACACTTTCTAAATGAATGAAATAGAATGCACAAAGAATCCAAACAACAAAACGAAAGCGCCAACCCTGCCAAACTCAGACTCCAAATTCCAAATCCTGCGACCTACTCCCCAAAACCCGAAGCTCTAAATCCTAAGCCCTAAATCCCGAGCCCGGTTTAGGGTTCAGGGTTTCATACCTCTAAACCCTAAATTCCCAGCCGGAGCGCGCTTGGAGGATCCTCATTGGTCCGCCACGCCTCCCGAGCCGCTGCAGGCGCCGCGTTAAGGGTTCAGATTAGGGTTTAGGGTTTAGGGTTTAGGGTTTAGGGTTCTAGGGTTTAGGGTTTAGGGTTTAGGGTTTTAGGGTTTAGGGTTTAGGGTTTAGGGGCATGGCCCCATAACCCAAAGTTTGGGGGCTTATATAGGGTGTAGCATACATACCCCACAGGATCCAAACGATCCAGCATTTAGGTACAATTGCAAAGTCTTGGAGCGTGATGTCAAATGCATGGCGATTGATGAGCCGAGACAAGCGAGAAGTCCACTTGCCAAACATTCGAATCCTCTCCCGCCTCTCCCTAATGCTAACCTGCAGTACTACTATCTATCGTCCTATCGCAAGCCCTTTGCAGCCGTAATTACAGGGTCTTTCGAACCCTTTGGATCAGGCAGTTTGGACCATCAGAAGCTGGGTATCCTAGCAGAGCCCACCTAAGCCTACACTCTTTGGCTCCCAACGCCAAGATCTGGAACCACGCGTTCACTGAGCCAGTATGCAGCCGAAGGCCTAAAAGCAAAACGAAATGCATCGGCATGGATAAGCTTTTGACTGCTCTTGAATTATTTTCGATGTGGGTTTAACAGGAAACCTGCAAGGCTGCCACACCTACAGGGCCTGGGGCACAACCTTCATCAGCACCTGCGCAAGGGCCTTGGTGCTGGAAGTGTCTTCGGATCTCTCTTGGTTCTTGAGTTCAGGTGTCCGATTTCTCCGTGCGTTTGCTCCAGTCTTTAGGCAAGGAGTTCATGGTTTGGGGGGCACGTTGCTGGCCTTTCTCAGTTACAGCAACTGTGGCATCCGCTCGTTGAGCTCCGCCGCGTTTTAGACTTGCAGGCCCTGAGAGAGCATCTGCTGTGTGCTCGGGTCTCCGCTGTCCCGTAGCCGGCTAGGGTTTAGGGTTTAGGGTTTAGCAAGCGGTAAATCTGCTACGCACTTGTTACATGCTCTTTGCCACCGCGACCTGATCACGAGCAGATTGTCGGAAAGCAAGTTCCGATTTCCAAGACCCGATGCCCCAATTGCGACATCCATACCCTAAATACCCTAAACCCCCTGAAACCCCAAAACCCCTAAACTCTTCGAGGACAGAGCCTGGGCTTCCAGCTTCCAGCCCGCAGCGCAGCCGACCCCCACAGGCGACCGCTTTTCAGGATGAGTACGGTTTAAGTTTGGGGGTTTAGGGTTTAGGGTGTAGGTGAGGATTGTCCAGGTAAGTCCGCCATGTGTCTCAGATAGGTGACATACAGTCCCGATTCAAGAAAGGGCAGGCTTCGATGTGTTTGAACTCCCTGGAAGCTGCCACTTACTGCAAATTCGGAATCCCCCTAAATCCCGTAAATACAACCCGGGCACCCTAAACCCTAAATTCCCTAAATCCTGCACCCAAACAACAGAAACTGAAGGTGGCCTTGCCTCCGAGCTCTGCAAGCCGGGTGCTGCAGAGGCATCAACCCCAGGAATTCGTGGTATGTCGGCGCAGGATGTGGAGCTTGGGTATGGTTGTGCTTACGGTTTAGCATCTAGGGCCTATACGGTTTAGGGTTTAGGCCTTAGGGTGGCTGTATATGAGCCGCTCATATGGCAGAGGAGGAGTTGAGGCAGCAAGATGTACTTAGCACCCGAAGTGCATACTGACTCCGAGCCCAAGCTCTTTTTTGTGTTCTTGTTGTGTGCGCCCACAAAGTAGTCTTTGAACATGAAGGTGTGGCGGAGTGTGGCCGATCAGGCTTCACAGATGGGCGAAAGGTCATGGTTTACAGCGTACACGCTTACTCCTTAAGGACCAAGTGACCCTTATAAGCACGGGCCCTAAACAAATATATGACGAAGCCTATAAAACCACAAGCCCTTATACTATGGTATGTGAACCCTGAACGGGTACATGAGCGCTATAAACCCTATAGATGGTATATGAACCCTAAATCCTTTTAGGCATCTTTTCTTCCTTAAGGCTGTGGGCCTGAATAATTGGAATAGGGTTTGGGCGTATATTATTATACTGTTTATAATACAAGGAACCCCCACAATCCTATTTTATTAAGGCCTCTACATTGCACGCTTACTGTGGCAGTTAATTGCCCAATGTGACTTAGGCGAACTCCTCTCCACGTCGCTGCCAAAAGCGGCCGCCTTGAGGCTGCTGGCCCCAGAGGGCCAGGATTTCCAAAGTTTAGGGTTTATAGGGCTTAGGGTTGGGAGGGTTTAGAGTTTATTGGGTCCAGGGCTTAGTGTCACTTAGGATGTAGGGCCGGGGTTTAAGGGGAGTTTAGGGCCGGGGTTTGTAGGGGGTTTAGAGTTTAGGGCTTGTAGGGTTTAGGGTGTATCGTTTCTAGGACTTCGAGCAGCCGCCTGCACGACGAAGGGCCTGTCAAGTTTGGTGCGTCGCTAAAGGCTATGAGTCTTGGGACAGTGTGGAAGTCAGAGTTTTCACTAGACCCACTAGGGCTTCGGGCTTAACACATTTTCTCGCGGCTGTACAGCTGGAGTGGCATGGACTGCTCCGGTTTATTCGGGAATCAACCCGACAGTGCCCCACAGGTATCCGAGAGGAATTGGCTCCCTTCCGGTCGGTTCGGTACTCGTCAAGCATAGAGTTTACCCGCATTCGATACGTCTGAGACGTATAAAGACATGGACCTTCCAAGTTTCCGAAGCCTAGAACCCAACAATCTTTATCCGGGCATAGAGACACGATTTTCGATCTTCCCATATTCAGAGTCCTTGCTACGGGATTTGAAGGAGCAGCCTTGGCCTTTTGGAGTTTTCGAGTCCCTGCGGTGTTGAGGTGTGCCTGGCTCTGCTGGACGAGGCAGGTTGGCCATGGATCTTTCTTGGATAAAGGAGGAGATGTGAAGACAGGAGTTCCAGCCTGCCCCAATTACATACCCTATCTTGCATCACCCAAGTACCTAGCAACGGGGAGTAGGAGCATGAGAGTTCTGATTTCAGTGGTATTCTGCTCCAGGTCAGGAGCCTCGTCAGGCTCCAGCATGTATCTAGTCGGAGTCTTTTCTCTCGTTAATACCAAACGGCTCGCAAGCCTGCTTACTTGAGACAGTCGGAGCATCTTTTTTCGGTTCGTAATTCCGCTCAGCATTCGTGCCACAAACCTTCGAATGCTCCGGGCAAAAGGTTCTCGTGCCGGAAGGGCCCCATGTTTAATTAAGTTGTTCCATGGAGCGGGCGTGTTGGGAACCCTGTGGAGCTGCAAAAGGTGTCCGGGGCACTAGGGCGAGGTGCCAAAACGGTATTTCTAGCAGCCCTTAAACACCTTAAGCCCTAAACCCGCGATCTAGGAATCGACACTTTCACCCTCAAAATCCTACGACGTGCTAAGATCCCCAACCGACCCTAAGACAAAGCCTGAGTGAAAACCGCAACAAAGTGGTCCTTATCATCCCACACGGCTCACGTTTCCCCTTGGTCTTTCGGCACAGGGGCTCGTCGATGTGAACGCCCAGGCCAGCAACAACAGTGCGCAGCTCTTCCGGTCTGGGGCCCCTAAGGGTGCAAGGCTTCGGGGTTGAGTTTGAGGCTACTAGGGTTCAATTTTAGTTTGAAGTTCGGTGGAAGTCCTACAGATACAGCACCAACAGAGCCCCGGTCACATGCAGTGCTGCTGTGTACCTAAACCGAAGCTGTATGCACAGGGTGTATGTGGGCCGTATTCTCCACCAAGATTCCAGAACCGATGCGGGGAGATTGGTGCATGTATATGCAGAATGTCCTAAAACACAAACCCGACGTCGCATTCTAGGGTTTAGGGTTTAGGATGATGACATGAGTTTAAAATGGCAGCAGGGCAGTGCAGCGTGTGTCGGGCTTTTTCGGATGCTTGCCCCATCCGCAGTTTGGCTGCCAGGACATGCACGGCTTTACTTGCCTCCACTACGCCTGCACCGGAGGCACACCCCGTCTTCTTTGGAACTCCTGCTCGGATCTTTTAATTTCGTCAAGTTCTGACTGTTCAGGGGTTGGGGGGTGAAGTCGACGAGTCAACGCATCCAACCCGGCCATATCCGAGGCTGTGGTCCGTGTACCCCGCAAGTGTTAGTTGTCAATGGCAAGCCAAAATTCAGCAGTCCTTGGTTTCCCTGGGATACTTTAGAGGTGCTGACGATTTCGAGAGCGCTCCTACAGAACTACACAATGATCACCTCCTGGGAGTAGCCCTGCTTTCCACAAGCAGCATCAGTATTGCCGACAGGTCTCAGACTGCAGCAATTTGAATCATCTCCGGCAGGCCATTTCCAGATTTGCGCCGCCCTTTTGGCGCACCCGCCTTTCGAAGCACTAGTCAGGGGCCCCGGAAGGGCTGTTTAGAATTGGGTGTTGTGCATGTCTGCACATGTGTGTGCGTGTGTGTGTATTTGTTTTTTGTGTTATTTAGTGCAGGGCGGGTCTTTTGGTGCGCTGTGGCGGGAAGAAAAACGTCCAGAATCGAGATCTTCGAGCCCAAAATAGTGTGAGCCTTGTTGACTGACGGATTCGAAGGGATTCACTGCGTTCACTGGAACTAGTCCAACAGATAAAAGACGAAGCAGGCCCATGCTGCTCACCGAACAGAGCCGGCTTGTGCTGTGAGGTGTGCCTTCAAGTGTCGTTCCTCCCCAAGCACTCTGCTTTCTAGAGCTAGGAACGATTCTTGCTGACCCAGCTCTACACAGTCAAGAGTGCTGATACTACATATTCCGCTGTATGCAAGACACTAGACTCGACGCGATGTGCTCCAAAGTTCCACAACCGGAAATCCGGACATGTCTTGGCACACTCCGAGGCCACTCTGGAAGCCCTGGGCTGCAATGCCTTGCATTGCGCTGCCGCGGCAGGTGCACCGAGCTCTCGCGCACACCCCGACCAAACCATCGAAATTGAGGATGTTCAGATTCAGCGTGGCGGCTGACGCGTGAACTTCAGGTCAAAATGCTATAGGTGCAGCAGAACCCTGGAGATTTGCGGCAGGCCATGGTGAAATCTGTCAGCTAATTCTGAACCATGCCACAGACACTCGGCTTTGCCGAGGTTTAGATTGTATGGAAGCGGTCAGTAAATCGAGTGGATGTCTAATCCCAAATGGATCCTACTCAGCGGGCTTGTGCTTGGGATGCGGAGCGGCAGTCATGCGTGTTTGAGACAATGCATCTAGGTTCATTTCAAGTAACATCTGGGGTCTTACCCTGCATCTGCCTTACATGGAAACTCGTAGACATTCTACTGCAAGTATTGTGCCTTTGCGGCCGTGCCTCCGACACTGCTTTCCCACCAAGGAGGTGGCAATGCATGGAACGTTCCACATGCTGGTGCAGCCGCTGGCCTTATTTTGCATTGGTGCTGTTGGGATGGACAGGGCTTCGAGGCTGAAGGCTGAAGGGGTGGATCTTTGATTCATTTGTGTGTTCTTCTAAACTGCGCGAAATAGAGCCTGCATGTCCCCGTCCCTGAAATCTGAGGCCGAGCAGAACCCCATGATCACGGCATTTATTCAGACTCCGATCTGTGCTCTTTCCAAACCCCAGTCTTTGACTCGAAAGCTGTGCCGACATAAAATCATATAGAGGCCGCAATAATTACGTAGCAAATGTAACTATGAAATGTCCTTAAGCCCTGTTCTATAGTATTTTGTTGGCCCCCCATATCGAAAGCTCTCCACAGCTGAGGCAGACCAACATCTGGGGCCAGGCTGGCGATCCCTTCTGAATTAGCGTGTACTTGCCGCTGCCAACAGCCCAGCTTGAAGAATCTTCGAGCACCCGCCATCCGAAACCGGAATAGACTAGATTGCAAACACGAAGAAACTCTTGCAAGTATCGAAACCTGGGAGATTTTTTACCAACAAGCTTTCATTTTCGCATTTAAACATGGAGAGCCGGGTGCAGCAGGTCCCCTTCGATGTCGCCACCGGGCCGGCTCGCTACGTCTTCTTGACGAAGGGCCTGGGCCGGGGACTCTTCAAAGAGGAGTCAAAAAAGGGCGCTTGCTGCTGCGCTTCGGGATGTTCGGGCATTTGGGGAACCCAGGACCCAGGGGCTTTGGTGCTTTGGGGTTTGGTATGGCTGCAGGAGCCACAAAGGCCGGGGCGCTTGTTCAAACGGTTCGGCCGGCATGCTGCAATGAGCCAATGGGCTCAAAGATCCACGCATAATAGCGCTGGTTCGCCGGAAGTCCCTCGAATGTGTGTGAGGTGTACACGTTGCTAAATGGCAAGTCTGTGGCTGCCTGGGCTTGAAGCCTATGTACGTACAGGTAAGCCCTGAGCCCCACATTGTGACAGCAGGGCCTTACAGTATGCGTTCCGACGTGAGATCTTGATTGAATTTTGATGGAGGTTTATACAACATTATGTAAGTTTCTTTAGTCTTAGATGCAAACTCGTTAACCCATGCAATAAAGTTTGAGGCTCGATGAGCCAACCTGGAGCGCGATTAGGTTGTTTGCACACGCGAAGCTCCACATATGGCGAACATCAGCCATACAAAGAAGTCGTGCTGTTGGCTCGCGGCAGTGTTTGTAATTTTGCGGTCCTTGAGCTTGCTCTGCCGAACACTGGCTCAAAGCTGTCCTCCCATCAGCCAGCGCCATTGAAGCAGGAGGCTGTTGAAAGTGGTGTGAGGCCTCTGAGACATTGGGAGTGCCATTAATTCTAGGAATACGATTCTCACATTCCGGCTTTCGCGGAGCAGCTACATTTATCATACATGTTGGGCTTCCAGATGTGCGGCGTTGCGCCCAAACTTGTGCTTGCCGCTGAAGGTGCTTAGTATATTAAGCATGATCAAGCCTGCATTGGGGAGTAGTCTGGCAAACGCAATCACTACTGAACTCGGCAAAGCGATTGTATATGAACCACAGCACGACAAGTGGATCAAGCCTCCAGCATGCCGCGAAGAATTCGGCACTCCTGGGGAAGGGTTTCGCCTTTATGTGCTGCTGTGAGCTTCCTAGCTGCTCAATCGCTTCGTCCAGTGGTTTTGGCCCCATCTTCCTGGTGGAAGGCCGGACATCCTCGACGGGTGCATCGGAGCGCAGCCGAAGTAGAACTGTTGTCGCACCTGGCCGTGCTGTTGGCACCACAAGAACCGATTGGGGAGCTATTTCGCGATTTCTGCATAGAGCCTTCCACGAACTGGGCGTCAAGTCGCTTGAGCCCCGACTTGGCCGTGCCTGGTGTTTTGAAAAAGAAGAATGCTGTATTGTTCCTAGAATATGACGGATACTACCGGCATCAGCTACCCTCCGGGATTGCAGCAGACGAGCGCAAGAATGCAGCCTTACTGCACTATGCGCCAGCGGGCTCGCGAATCGTAAGGGTGGCCCACGCCGGCCGGAATGTCTTCAGAGGCGACGACAGAGTAATCGAAGTTGTGGTGAGTGCTTGGCAGCCTGGCAACCAAAGATCCCTGAGAAGAGCTGTAGACCAACTCGCGCAGAATTTATCCAGCAAGTTGAATAGTCTGCTCCGTCCTGCATCAAGAGCACGTATTCTCGAAGTTCTCCACGAAGCTGGCCGTGTTGATCTAGAGCCTGCACAGTCTTTCGCTCAGGAAGCTATACTCTCAGGTGGAGGTGGGACAAGAGAGAGCAGGAGGACTGAGGTCCTCGCATTTCTTCAGGAAGACATCGCTTTGCCAGAGGCTGTGGCTGAGGCAGCATTACAGAAGTTCACCCCGCTGCTAGGGTTGAGGGTCGAGGCAAAAATGAAACCTACTGCGGAGTGGCTGCACGAGGTGGGTCTGAGCAAG